TGTCAAGTTGATGTTGTTTTAACCTTCGCAAGGACCGGGCGTAGCCACACTCGGTTCAACTAAAGTTGGAGAAACTGACACCTGCCAGCCACCTGTGTGCAAAGCACGTCGGTAGAACCAGTCTCGCGTAAGCATACGCGTAATGTCGGTCCGGGCCGCTTCATCCAACAATACCGCTGAACCAAAGTATGACATGCTGGTAAGCAGTATGACTTATATCGCCCACAACTCACTTGTGTTCTACTCGTGCATATGACATCTACGCATAAAACCAGGCTCTGATACCACTGTTGGGAAACGTAGTAATTTCAAAATATTTCCTACGCATACGCAAGATCATGGTGATGCATAGCAATGAGAGGGGAGAGTGTTGTCCACGTACCCTTGTAGACCAAAAGCGGAAGCGTTAGCACAATGCAGTTGATGTAGGCGTACGTCTTCAAGATCCAACCAATCAAGTACCAAACGTACGGCACCTCGGAGTTCAGCACACGTTCAGCCCGATGACGTCCCTCGAACTCCGATCCAGCCGAGTGTTGAGGGAGAGTTTCGTCAGCACGACGGCATGGTGACGATGATGATATTCTACCGACGCAGGGCTTCGCCTAAGCACCACTATAGTAGTATCGAGGTGGACTATGGTGGAGGGGGCATCAACGGAGGCTGACCGGCGCGGCAGCGCACGCAGCGCGCAGCTTTGGCATTGATTCGCCACGGGAAACGAGGCGATGAGGACGACGAAGCGGTGAGAAGAGAGTCGAGTCGCTTACGTGGCTGGCCCGCGGCTCTTCGCGCCAAAAAAGATTCGCCCGCCCCCGAGCGACCCCTAGCGCGCCGGGTTCGGGTTGGGTCCGCCGGTGCCAATTTCGGCCTGAGCCGGCGAAAATTGAGCCCTTGGGAACGCGACTGGGCTGATTTTTGGGCCCCGGCGGCCGAAAAATCGCCTGGGGGGGCCTTCTTGGGGGCGCGGCTGGAGATGCTCTTAGGGACCAGACCAATTCCCACTGGCAACAAAACCACAGCGAGATACTCCCTCCGGTCCTTTTTACTCAGCATATTAGAATTCTCTGAAGTCAAACTTCACAAAGTTTGACCGTATTTATATGAAAAAATATCAACATCTGCCATGCTAAAGTATTATAATATAAAATTTTAAGTCATGACACATCTAGTGGTATTGATTTCAGATTATGAATGTTGTCACTTTTTTCTACAAAATTGGTCAAACTTTACGAGGCTTGACTTTAATCAAATCTTATATGCGAACTAAAAAGGACCGGAGGGAGTAGCATACAGAGCCATCGGAAGCGTCCTTTTTATTTAGGAGAGAAAGATTAGATGGCTGGGCTTCTTTTGTTTTTAAAGAACTGAGACGATTAGGCTTTCGTGGGCAGTTTACGACAGGAAAGGGATTATAACTTCAACTGTTGTATGTGATTCCTTTAATTCTCATGACTCCTATGTTTCTGACAATAAGGTTGAGACTGTTATTCACATATCCACTGCTTGCAATTATGATTCACTATTTTATTTACGCGTGTACCAATTGTGGCAAAAATTTGCATTAACCATTGCAATTATATGCTTCTTTGTACAAACACTTCCTTTAACCATGTGTGCTTCAACCACTATGAGCATAGCTTCTTCAAGTAAAATTTTATTCTACTAACAATTTTCTTATCATAATACATTTCAATGCAAGTGTGTGCTTCCTTGTTTCAGAATATCTTCTACTTATAGGTATTTTGTCGCTCGAGTTTTTTCTCGAATACGCACGAGTGTGCGTATCATTCATTAAAGAGAGGATGGGAAAGACTCCCAAGCATCCACACGGGCTACAATATTTACATGGCACACGCCCGAACTCCGCCAGTACACTAGGGCGTACTACTCACGCTCCGTCTGCCTACTACCGTGCTCCTCAAAACCTTTAGTGTCCTCCTTGAACAGTCCAGCCTTGGCCCAAAGCTTCCCTTCGTCCTGGAGCTGCTCCTTGACTCGTGGCAGAGATACCGATGCCCCATTGAACACGATGTCATTTCGATGCTTCCAAATTATCCATAAGGCCAGGATGCATTTAGCCCTGAAAGATCTGCGATGTGCCGGACGTTGATCCTGCCTCAAGCACCAGGCGCTCAAAGATTCATCCTGGAGTGGCTCTATGTCATGCACCCCTGTCCTCAATCCCATCTCGTGCCAGACCTGCCTCGCAAACACGCAGTCAAGAAGCAGATGTTGCAGTGATTCCTCGTGCTAGTCACAGAAGGGGCATGAGCTCTGATGTGGTAACCCTCGCTTGGCCAGCCGGTCGGATGTCCAACATCTATTTTGAATCGCGAGCCAAAGAAAGAAACGAGTGTGAAGTGGTGCGTTTGATTTCCATGTGAACTCCGCCGTCGGTGACCTTTGCAGGCCCATGAAATTTGCCGCGTATGCAAAGGGCGCGGAGAAGATCCCGTTCTGCTCCCATGACCAAATAGTTCTATCCTCCTCCCCTTCCACTAGTTGCATGCCCGCCACCCTTTGCCACAGAGCCAGGAATTGTGCCATCTCATTTGTAGTGAGGTTAGGTCCAATGTATCTTGCCCATTCCCCACCTATGAGCGTGTCCTTCACTGTCCGTGAGGCTCTCGTCCGCCTTCGAACTCTATTGTAGATGGCAGGAGCTAGCTCGCCAACTCGGTAGCCTGAAAGCCACCGGTCTTCCCAGAAAAGGGCGCTACGGCCATTTCCTATGATCGTCCGAGAAGCCGCGTTGTATAATTCGCGAGAAGCAGCAGGGATGTCGATGTTGAACTCAGCCCAGGGTCTCTCATTGTCCGTTTTCTGTAGCCATGGCCATCGGGCTTGTAAGGCCTTGTTCAACCAGCTCAGGTCGGGGATCCCAAGCCCACCTGCCCACTTGGGCTTGCATACACTATCCCACGCCACGGCACAGTGCCCTCCTGTCGCCTCTTTCTTCCCGCACCAGAGGAACCCACGGCAGATTTTTGACAGGGCCTTGATGATCTTCACCGGAATGCTCAAGGCCAGCATGGAGTGGATTGGTATTGCGCCGAGGACCGATAGGATCAGAGTTAGGCGACCACTCTTCGGAAGCATTGCCGCCTTCCAATGCGGCAGGCAGTCATGAAGTTTATCCACTAGGCATTGGAGCTGCGCTGCTGATTGTTTGCGTAGGGTGAGCGGCAGCCCCAGGTAGGTGCAGGGGAAGGAGCTGTTCGAGCACCCAAGGATTGAACAGACGAGCAATACCTCCTGTTGGGAGCAGTGGATGGGTAGTTATGCTTCATGTTTCTACACAATGCCAACGATGCTATGTTGATGCTGAGTATGATGTGAATGGGGTTTGACATTGTTATGTGTCCATGACTACCGTGTTTCACAAAAGGAGCATGCGACACGTGTACTACTTATTGATTGATTAGCCCATTTAGCATCGCTGCTATGTCGGTTGGGCGGAAGTCAAAATAGTGTCATTATAATAATGTGTCATTCTTTGTTAAAAGAGCTGTAAAATGTTCGTTATACCAAGTGGATTTTTTTTTGAAAATCCTTCGTGCTTCCTGTCCTTCCATACGTGCTTGTTTTGCTAGTACTAAATTGATAACTGTGTTTTTCCTGTCGTCGAGAGTTTGTTCACAATCAAAAACGATGCTTCCATGCATCAAGTATAATGCTTTTGTGCTATATAAAATCATGTTGCCATCTACAAAACACATCTTACCTATTCTTCCGAATTATATGTATCTGCGATATTAATTTTCTACAAAACACATCTTACCTATTCTTCTGAATTATATATAAAATGTTCATTATACCAAGTGGATTTTTTTTTTAAATCCTTCATGCTTCTTGTCCTTCCACATGTGCTTTTTTTGCTAGTACTAAATTGACAACTGTGTTTTTCCTATCTTAGAGAGTTCGTTCACAATCGAAAACGATGCTTCCATGCATCAAGTATAATGCTTTTGTGCTATAAAATCATGTTGCCATCTACAAAACACATCTTACCTATTCTTCTGAATTATACGTATCTGCAATATTAAATTTTGGTTTCGATGTGCAAAAGCAAACCATTTCTATCGAAAACATTCCTATAATGAATTATACCGAATTGTGATCAATCAAATATTGCTAAGTCCTGGTATTTATTATCGCTTGGAATTACTAGATCATAAGGGATTTTCTATCTACACCGGGACTATAATATCAAATTGGGGACGGAGATCGTAATTAGTGAGAAATAATAGTACTTTCCCAAAATGATTTCCATAAAAAAGGGATTCACGCCATTCCCAAATAATTATGCCGTCCATCTAGAAGAATGCTTCCTTATGAAAGAATGCTTCCTTATGAAATCCAGTTTTGCCATTGGTAAGGAAACAAATCTAGAAAATATCATAATTAATTGTTGTATATAATTGGGAGAAATAATCCCACTTTCGACTATTTTAGGGATATCGCAATTTCCGGGGCTTGGCGATTAGGAAGCAGCTATTCTTTCCTTCAAAAACAAAAATAATAAAAGGAAGCAGCTAATATTACAGAAGCAGTTACCATGAAGCAATCAACTGAAGAAGGAAACTAAACAACCAGCGGGGCTTTAGTAGCAGACCAGGGCACATAGATAAACCCAAGAAAGAAAGCTAAAAGACAACTTCACACGGATTTTCGCTCAAGATTTGATGAGTGTAGCAATGATTTGGACCTAGCAAAACTATAAAGAAAGTTTTTTTTTTTGCGGGGAACTATAAAGAAAGTTAAAGCTCAACAATTGTTTGTATAAAGAAGAAAATGTCAGATCACTGTAAAAATTCAGAATGTCAGTAATAAATAATTTCATGGCTGCGTGTGTCAGCAGAGGGAGCTCGAATGAAGAAACAAAATAAAAGAAATGGCTGCTACATCTTCATCGAAGCAAGATAAAAGTTGAAGTTCTGCGTTCGCCACGAAAGGGGGTCCGAATACTGAAGAAACATTGCAAAATACCGTCTCTGCTATCCTGCTATGCGGCCGTTCTTCTCATTTGCCTCATTTGTTTTGCATCTTCTTTGTTGGAGGAATTCGATAAGCACCCGTAGCGCAACGTCGACGTCCTCACTCCGCAGCAGCATCTCGGACACCTCCGCCGGTGTCACCTCCACCACGGAAAGCAGTTCCCGAATCTCCGGGAACAGCGCGTGGTCCTCGACCAGGTGGTAGTTCCGGGCCAGCGTCCTGAACGCCTCCCAGCCACAGTGGCCCATGTAGACGTGCATGTCCATGCGGCCCGGCCGTAGCAGCGCCCGGTCGAGGCGGTCCTTGTAGTTGGTGGTGAAGACGATGACGCGCTCCTCGCCGCATGTGGACCACAGGCCGTCGATGAAGTTGAGCAGCCCTGACAGCGTTATCTTGCGCTCGCGCTCCGGGGGGTATCCTCGTGCTCGGGCGTCGTCGTACTCGTCGTCGTCGTCGTCTGTGTAGGTCGTCGCATGGGATACCTTGCGGTCTTCCCTGGACATGGTGTCAAAGCTGCAGTCAATGTCCTCGATGACGAGGATGGACTTGTTGGACATGTCGATGAGCAGCCGCTGCAGGCACGAGTTATCGTACACCCCCGAGAGGTCAAGGTCGTAGAGGTTGAACCGGAGGTAGTTGGCCATGGCGGCGACCAGGCTGGACTTGCCGGTTCCAGGTGGGCCGTAGAGAAGGTAGCCGCGCTTCCACGCCTTGCCGATCCGCCGGTAGTAGTCCTTCCGCTTCAGGAAGCGGTCGAGGTCGTCAATCACGGCCTGATTGACGGACGGGTCCATGGCGAGCGTGTCGAACGTGGCCGGGTGGTGGTGGTTGATGCCTTTCCAACTCGAGCCCTGGTTGAGCAAGATCTTGAGCGCGCGGTCTCGCAACCGCAGCTCCTCCGCCGTGGAGGTAATGAAGGGCACGTACTTGTGGAGCGCGGTCTCCGTGTGCTCCGCGTCAAAGCTGAGCTCCAGGCATTCCTTGCCCCTATTGTTGCCGTCGTTGCCGCCGCTCTCGATGGACGTCCACCGGAACTCCACGCCTTGGAAGGTATCGGTGGTGGAGCTCCCGTTCTCCATGCTCAGGAGCGTGGTGCAGCTGCCGCTCCCGTCGGGCTCCCTCTTGCGGGTGCGCGCGAGGCAGAGCCGGCTCATGGACTGCGGGTTGATCTTGGTGGCCAGGTACGCGAGCGCCGCGTCGAACAGGTCGTCCTCGTTGTACCCGCCGCCGAGCACGCGCCGGATGACGATGGTGTGGCGCTCCTTGTCGGGGGCGCTGAAGCGGGAGCGCACGAACGCGGCGCCCCAGCGCACCGCGGCGCGCAGCTCGTCGGGGAGGAGCTCCCGCGCCATGCCGCGCGCCAGCATGGCGTACGCGCTCACCGAGGCCGCAGTGGCGAGCGCCTTCTTGTACGCATTCACCACCGCTGCGCCCTCCGGCGACGACGCCATGCTTGTCTTTGGCAAGAAATCCATGGCTAACAAGGACTAATAATATATATAGACAAATAAATCTTTTCCTGTTTCGTGTTCCGTCGCGTTGTGTTGCCAGCGTCCCTCCTTCTGTATTTATATCGGATCCAGCTTTAACAGGTTCTACGCGGATACGACCTCTAAAATCTTTCCAAACATGATTCTAAAAAAAAAACTTTCCAAACTGAACACGAGCACGACACGGAAACAGCTCCTCCAAGAACTCAATTTTCCAGTATAGCCATGGATTATAGCAAGATTTAAGGAACCGACTTATTGATTTTTGCAACAGCAACAAAAAAGAACCGACTTGTTCTGTTTTTTTTTCTCTGCGATGAAACGAACCGACTTCAAATCTAACACAGTCCAGCTGGACGGTTCACGAAGCACGCAACCGAGGACTTTACACAATTCAGGAAGCTCTTACCCTAAAAACAAATCAGGAAGCTCTTGATCGGAGGTCGGAGCAATAGGAAACGTCTGTTTTTCTTTTCCTGTTGCGAATATAGGAATTGTCTGTTCAAGCTGGTGCTCAATTGTTTTTTTATATAAACACAGTAGTAGTAATCTCGTATGTACAATGCACCTTAATATTATTTTTGAACACAATACAAACGCAAATGCGCATATACTCACCCCTATGAACGCACACACGCACACCCTAGCCCTATGATAACATATTAATTGCATCACACACTAATACATACAGTATTTGAGAAGGATTTTCTTATCAAAGATTAGACAATATTGATATGCAATGCAATGCATGCTAATATTAGGCAATATATTAATTATGTTACATATTGATCTCATATGTGCAATACATTTTAGTATTAGGCAATAAATTAATTGCATTACACATAGTCTTTGAGAAGGATTTTTGGCCCCAACTTCCCATAAATATCGTCATAATGCCGCAATCCGCGCTGCCCGCCGCCATGCTGCCTCGTGCCCGCGCTGTGCCGGCGACCACCGCACCTCCCCTTCCCGACGACTATCGCACCCCCGTCTTCATGTGTGTCACTGACTGGTGGTGACCGTGTCCTGGACTAGGGGTTGCTAAGCACGTCGGCCAATCATTCATGGGCTGGGCCGAGGACCTCCACACAACCGAAGAATGGGGCACGTTTGCCATGACCCACGACTTACTCAAGATGGAATCCTTCGAAGACTTGGCGCATACTTCAAGGCATGTTTGAATCATCGACATATTTATCCCTAGATGTAACCGACCTACATGTAACCCTAGGTACCCCGGGTGTCTATATAAGCCAAGGGGTTTAGTCCCCAGGGTTAAGTTAGAGACACATATACACATACGATCTCGAGGTAGATCATGTACTTTATACCCCATCCACAATCAATATAAAAGAAGAATGACGTAGGGTTTTACCTCTTCGAGAGGGCCTGAACCTGGGTAAAACATCATGTTCCTCTTTGTCTTGTTACCGTCAAGCTAAGATCACCAGCTCGGGACCCCCTCCCAAGACGCGTCAGATTCAACTCCGACAGGCGGGTCTTAGGAAATCATCTATTTTTTGTTTAATAAAATGGATTTAGGGGACGAAGTTTAGAAGAACTGACAAAAGATGCTCTCGGACAACTTCCCGTGAATTTTACGGCCCTCCCGTAAAACCATTTTTACGAGCAGTTTTTTAAGGGAGATGTTGGATTGCTCTTAGAAGAATTAGAACTTTCGCTTTTATAAGTAGTAGAGATAGAGATAAAATAATTTGCCCACATACACACACGAGATGTCGGATGTCCGATCGTTCACGAGATGCCGGATGTCCGGGCCACGGGCGGATGTCCGGCCTGGCGTTGGCCTTCATTGTTGTACTTGTGGTGTCAGATTTCCGGGGAAGGCTGGATATCCGGGCGTTGTTGAGGCGCCGGATGTCCAGCCGCTGATGCTTTTGGTCGTCTGTCGGTGCAGCTCCTTGATACATCCATTTTGCATCATGCTTTTATATCGATATTTATCGCATTATGGGCTGTTATTACACATTATGTCATAATACGTATGCCTATTCTCTCTTATTTTATAAGGTTTACATGAAGAGGGAGAATGCCGGTAGCTGGAATTCTGGGCTGGAAAAGGAGCAAATATTAGAGACCTATTCTGCACAACTCCAAAAGTCCTGAAACTTCACGGGAGCATTTTTCAGAATATATAAAAAATATCGGGCGAAAGAATTACCAGAGGGGGGCCACCCACCATCCATGAGGGTGGGGGCGCCCTACACCCCTGGGCGCGCCCCCCAGCCTCGTGGGCCCCCTGGCAGCCCTCTGATGCCCATCTTTGGCTATATGGAGTCTTTCGTCCAGGAAAAAATCATAAGCTGGCTCACGGGACAAAACTCCGCCGCCACGAGGTGGAACCTTGGCGGAACCAATCTAGGGCTCCGGCGGAGCTGTTCTGCCGGGGAAACTTCCCTCCGGAAGGGGGAAATCATCACCATCGTCATCATCATCGATCCTCTCACCGGGAGGGGGTCAATCTCCATCAACATCTTCACCAGCACCATCTCATCTCAAACCCTAGTTCATCTCTTGTATCCAATCTTTGTCCCAAAGCCTCAGATTGGTACTTGTGGGTTGCTAGTAGTGTTGATTACTCCTTGTAGTTGATGCTAGTTGGTTTACTTGGTGGAAGATCATATATTCAGATTCTTTATGCATATTAATACCCCTCTGATTATGAACATGAATATGATTTGTGAGTAGTTACATTTGTTCCTGTCGGGTTTGGGGTTCCGGCAGACCCTTGAGGTTCGAACACTGGGGTGCGCGCGGAGATCTCTCCCCTACCGATCTGCGCCTGATCCTCTCGTGCGAACTAAGATGAAAATGATGAACAACACAAGAGACACAAGGTTTATACTGGTTCGGGCCACCGTTGTGGTGTAATACCCTACTCCAGTGTGTGGTGTGGTGGATTGCCTCTGCGGCTGATGATGGACAGTACAAGGGAAGAACAGCCTCGCGAGAGGTGTTCTTGAGTTGGTGCGATGAACTGCTAGGGTGAGTTCATCACCTCTCTCTCTCTCTCTGCTAGGGTTTTACCATATCTCTCGATGTTCTTGGGGTGTCTAGATGTCTCCGGGGATCTCTAGATGTCTAGATGTCTAGCTGTCTAGATGTCTCTGGGGATCTCTAGATGTCTAGATGATGTCTACTCTGTGGTGGCTAGCTCTATTTATAGAGGCCCTGGGCCTCTCCCCAAATAATGAGCGGGAAGGGCGCCAACAATTGGCCATTTCGAAAGGGGACATCTAGTACAAGTTATCCTGACCAAAGGTGGTCTTCGGCTGCCAAAAGCACTGGCGATGACGCCGTCTTGGGCTCCACGGTGACCTCCGTCCTGCCGTCCGGCTGGTATTGGTCTCGTTGCACCGAAATGGTAACCTTTGCCTGATGCCTTGGCCTGTGCTTGCCCCCTTTGCACCAAATGGGAAACAAGGACACTACGCTGGCCGGCGCCCGCCTGGCGCCCGCCTGGTCTCGATCGTCATGGCTTGCATCACGGGTTCCTCGCGAGGTACCCCTGCCTTGATCTCTCCGCCTCCTCGCGAGCCTGCCTGATGAGGCTGCCTTTGAGGAAGCTTCCTGTCGTCCGCCCCGCGAGGCTTGGCCCCTCGCGAGGGTCTTTGAGCTTGAGCTGATGAAGATGGGCCGCGCTGGGCCCCCGCTTGAGCCGTGCCGCAGGCCGCAGGCAGGCAAGTCTGGGGACCCTCGTTCCCAGAACGCCGACAGTAGCCCCTGGGCCTAAGGCGCGCGCGGGCTTGGCTTAGCAGAGAAGCAAAGGGGCAAGCGCGAAGCGCCGCGGGCCCTAACAGCCTGCGGCCTTGGGCGTCGCATGGCGGTTGATTGGGCGTGGGCGTGGGCGCCTGCACTTCCCATGACGCCTCGGCAACTTCACGACTTGACAAGTCCCTGCATGCAAAGATATGGGTCATGATTACCTGAGGCCATGGTGCTCGGCGGTTGGCCTTCCCCGGCTATAAGTACGGGGCCGCGCGAGCTTCGCCGGTTCACCCCTTTCCGTCACTCCTCCTCTTCTTCCTTATCCTTGCTTCCTCTTGCGCCAATGGCACCGATCTGCCGGTTTTCAGCTGAGGAGAAGGGAAAGGCCCCCCAGGGAGGGTCCTGACCCCCTCCCGCCGAAGAAGCGGCCAATCCCTTGCCACCGGGATGAAGGCGCCTGGCAGGTGGTGTCGAGGCCATGGTACGAGCAGCCGCCGCCTGGGTTTCCGCTGCCCTCGCACGCCCGCGTCGTCGGCCCCAGGGGGAGGGCGCCGAGCAACACCGACAGCGTCGCCGCTGACGCCGGCGAGTCACAGTGGTGCGTGTCGTCCCCCATGGAGTCCACGCGGAGCGCTCCTCTCGCGAGCTCGTGCTTCACGCCGCCATGCCTCCAACTTCGTGGATCCGCCTTCCTCCCTCCTTCGCCTTCGAGATGCCGCCAAGCGGGGCCCTGGAGCTCTGGCTGCAGCACACCGACTGTGGCACCCCTGCAACCGGAGCGGAGGTCGCGGTCATCGCTCCGGGCAAGGTCTTCATGACCCGGAGCTGGGGTGAGATTGCCCGGGTCTGTTGCGCGGACGGCGCCTTGGTGATCCATCTTGAATACGACGGCGCCTCCTTGATGTTCTTCAAGGTCTTTGATGCACAAGGACGCCGGCTGGAATGCTGCCCCAAGGGAAGCGGCAGTGGTGATGAACTGGCGAGGTCCAGCCCCGCCCGTTGGTTCTCCTGCAGCTCCTCAGGCAGCAGTGGAGGGACTACGGGCTTCAGCGGCTCCCCCGAACTCCTCGCGACCCCGGAGACGAGTGACGACAGCTACGAGCCTCCGAGCTCGCGCCGCGCTCGGAGTGAGGCAGCTGCCTCGGGCCGCCGACGCCACTGATCTGGATGGGGTTGGCGCCGGCGCTGGGCAGCCCACTATTGATGATGGCGTCGCCTGGGGAGGTGCTAGCAAGTAGCGTTCCTTAGGGTTAGCA